CTTCGCTTCGAGTCGCTCTTCTGGGCAGCCTTGTCTGCCGCAATCAGGGTCTCCAGACGGCTCAATGCAGCTTTAAACCTTGAAATGAAAGCCGTCGGGCCTTCATTCGGCCTCCGCTTCAGACCAAACAAGAACTCGTCGACACTCTCGTTGAGCTCGGTCTCCGGGAGGAAGCGGTAGTGCGAATCGAGCGCTGCAAGAACCTTGCTCCAGCCATTTTCTGAACGGAGTTCACCCACACTCAGGTGCTCCGTAGCTCGCCATGCTTCCCCTGACAGCCTCGTCAGGATCTTAGGGCCTGCCAAGCGAATCTGCTTGGCCTCCAAGCTGGCGACACTGAGGAGGATCTTCCGCCGGAACTGGCGGTACTCCGAAGGAATCCCCGAGAAGGATAGGTCCCGAAGGAACTCATCTTGCTTTCCTGCCATCGTCGTGGCAGCACACTTGCCTTCAGGCACCTGAAGACACACGTCCCTGAGCTCTTCCGAGCTCCGCTACCATGAACAACCTATAGAGGTTAGCACGCAAAAGGAGGCCTTTTGCGTCCGTCGCCTGTGGCTACACAGATCTTTGTCAAGGGCCCTTGAGAGAAAAGGGCGGCCCGAAAGGATGGAGCTTTCAGATAAAGCTGTACACACACTCTAGCTTTACTGCACCGAGGTGGTATCACAGCTTTCACACATACTGCTTTCGAAACCGTGCAAAAACACAGGGAGGGGTATCGGTTGTGGGCGTATGAACGGACATAATGCCCCTCCCTAGCTCCTTCTCTCCGCAACCAAAGCTCCTAAATCTCTAGACACGACCCCTGGAGCTCTGAAGCCCCAAAGCACCTAACCAACCGCATAGAGCCTGTGCACGCGGCTACAAAGCAGAGTACAATGCACAACGATGTAGCCGTCATCGTTATCATGAACGACGAAAACAACAACAGCATAATGTAGAAAGAAGGATGCTTAGCCATCACGCCAGCGACGTCGATACTAGCAAGATTCAAGCATGTCAAGTCAACGAAAGCACTAAGCCTTCTACTCTTGCACTACTCCTAGTGCCAAACTCCTACCCCCACATGGCTGCTGCGACTCCTGCTTCCTGCTCCTCCTCTCGTCCTCCCTCCGCTGCTACACTCAAGTCTGAGCACATAGCACATAAACCTCGATTCCTAGCGGATGTTACCCCGAAACCCAGATACTCGTCACTCCTCTCTTTCGACCTGTGCCCCGGGCGTTGAGCAGAGTACTCTTCCCAGCGCCGCTCGGGCCCAAAATGCAGGTCAGCTTGCCGGATCTGGCATTTGGCGTGCGAGGGCGCTTTACGGTTTCCTTCTTCGTTTGTTTAAGGCTCAGGGATTGCAACTTTGGGCTTTGGTGTTTAGGATCGCTTTACAGAACGACTTTAAGAGTTTCGGGCCTGAAAGTTCAGGCTTCAAGAGTTTCCCTGAGGAAGGAAGACCCCTCGAAGGTCGAGGGCTTTAGACTGCTGGTGATCTTGAATAATGGACCCTCATGAACCCCTTTCAGAAAGTTGTCAAGTAATGAGATGAACAACTGGAGGTCAGAGTCTTGCACTTTAGGATCCAACCACAAAACCTAAGAGATAACCCCACCTCTGAACACAGGTGGTTCTTAATGAAGGCACATGCAACCAAAAGCTTCAACCACCTCCGAAGCTAAGTAGAGCCCTGAACCCATCATCCACCATGCAGGATCGGATTTAGGCTTTAGGGTTCCAACCCTTCAAGTCGCACGAGCCTTGCGCATCCGCTGACGTTCGTCAAGATCTGTACTGCCTGTCACTCCGGGGCTACCCAAAACGTCGGGAGGCTCATGGCCGGTGTGGCACACATCGAGTCCTAATCCCCTAACTTAAGAAACACGGTCGCAAGCAAATGAAAGGCACACAAGTTTTCAAGCCAACCAGCAAACATCAATACATGTGTGATCATTGTGTGAATGCTAACACATACAGACACGATACACAGAAACACACGTCCACGCGTATGTGCGCATGCATTACACTTGCACATATGCATGTGAATCTACATGTGAAGATACTTTGACATATACATCAACATATGCATACGACATATGCATATGCTCATGAAAAATACACATGTACATACACATGCACGTGCATGTGCGCAAATACGCGGGGACACACACACACACACACCACACGCGAATGTACACAGTATGTATATATATATATATATATATATAGTGTATAAATATATTGTGTATATATATATAGACAGATAGATAGAGATAGATAGACAGACAGACAGACAGATTGACAGACAGATATATACATAGATACACATGTATATAATGTATATATACACACACGCACACGCATACACATACACAAACGCATATACATCCATGAACATACACATATACCAAAAACTCATTCATATACACGGGCATGCGTGTATACATAAATCCGTAAGTGTGTGTGTGGGCACATGCATGTATGCGTTTGTGTTTGCTTCTGTGTATCTACCTATCTACTTACCTACATACATAATGCCGCACGCACACCCTTATGTAAGGGATCTGACGGTACGGCACGAGCTTTCGCCATCAGGCTTGTACGTATATGGCAAGAGATCTTCAGTGCTCGACCAGTCTCTTCATAAAGGCGAGATTCTCGGGTTGGATGCGTTTTGTGCCGCGGGAGCTGTTGCCGTTGGCGTCAGGTCTTTCTGTGGTTCTCATGTTTGGCTTACGGGATTTGGGATACTTGCTGGATGGTCATCGTTTTAGAGTCACTCTCATTAAAAGCTATCCCAAATCCCAAGTCCTAAAACCCCAAACCCTAAAGCCCTGTTCTCAAGGGTAGAATGCAGAGGTTTAGATATTTGGTAATACTTCTCAGTACTTTTCCTTAGGGTCTCACAGAAACTGCGGAAACAGTCCAACTACGCACGTGCAACCGCAGTCACGCGAGCCTCTTGGTGCTTTCGCACTACCTGCCAAGAGCGCATGGAGAGGGCCTGGCACACATGCGATTTGATGCAACGGAATGTGGTGCGGGCTGGGTCTCAAGTCGAGGATGTGTTGGCAGCAAAAGTTCAGGATCTATCTCAAGTCTTCCAGTCTTCGTGGAGCGTGGTGCTTTGCGGCGAAGCTGATCTGAAGGTCGTCGTCCTCGTCACTCGGGGTGGCTTCTGTTGCTGAAAGAGCATGTAGGGCACCCGACCACCATGACTCCAACCAGCATCTAACGCTTCGAGGTCACGGTGGTGTGTTGATGCCGAAGTTTAAGTGTGACAAATCCACAAGTCACCCGGAGCCCTATGTATTCTCATCAGGCCGGTTACCCTAAACCGGGCTGCAGAGGAACCGGGCCGAACCCTGAACTAACCTCCAAACCCTAGAGTCATCCCAGAACTCGTTGCGGTAAAGCTCAGTAATAGGAACGATGCCAAAAAGGAGGTTAAGGTTAGAGGCTTCAGGGGGTTTTCAATCTAAAATTAGGATTAAGGTCGAAAACCACCACACACATAATCTCTGACGTAGCACAGCTACAGTTCGGCAGGTCGAAACTCCATACCGATACCTCTGAAGCCCTTGTAAACCCAAGCCCGAAACCCTTAACCCAAAAAACCCAAACCCTCACTCCGTAAACCGTTGGAACCCTGAGCCCTACCCTAAACCTTTAACCCTAAAACCCCAAACCCTTGCTTCGTAAACCGCAGAACCTTAATCTCTTACTTTTTGAACCTCCTGGATTTTCACGACTAGCACCTCCCAGCGCAGCTCCATGGGGGAGCCGCCGAAGGAGGAGAACCTTCCATTTGCACGGAATAGCAGTTCTTACGGCTCAGAGTGCGGAATTCTGGGAATAGGATTTCTGAAGGGCATCGAGTTTGAGATAGCTTCGAGTGTCAAAGCTTAGAGTGTTCAATTCCGTGTTGTTTGGCAGGCCTAAAGATCTGTGGCTTAGGAGCTGTCGCAGCTTCGAGTTAGGGCGCCTTGTGGCAGAGGGTTTAATAGCTTGGGGCTTGTAGCTTACGGTGTAAAGTTTTATGGGACGTTCTTTACAGGTTTACGGCGGAAACTTGAGCCATGCAGTTGCAGCAAAACGGACGCCTCCACACGGTTACTGCACACGGTCCCTGTGCAACTCAGCACTAGGTATCCCAAAACCTGGTCTAATCACTAGTTCAGGGCTTTGGGTTTAGGGCTTAGGGAAGGATCCGCCTTATTGTTTGGCAGACGAGCACTGGCGAATGCCTCAACGACTGAAGAATAACACAGGAGAGGCAAGAACGCACAACAACGAAGAGAAGCACTGCACTGATCATTCGGCCGAAAATTCCACCGTTGCTTCTGAGGCTGGCACACAACAACGAACCTCTACATGCCAAGGCTAACATAATATAATATACTGTGAATATATGGTAGAACAACATATAATATAATGGTAAGGACAGGGTCAGAAGGAAGGCGCCAGTCCGTTCAACTGTAAAAACCCGAATCCGTACACCCGCCATTTAACAGGAAAAGCCTCGAAGTGGTTCATCCAAGCACATAAACCCTAAACCCTGAACCCTAAACCCTAAACCCTAAACCCTGAACCCTAAAGGGCCTTGTGCGGCCGATCTCCCAAGCACCCGCGGTCTGGTCCTCGGGGTTTAGGGTTCCGGGGTTGGGGTCTGCAGTAGGGGCCTTAATGATTAGAGTAGGCTTTGGGGGTAGATTAGATTAGGATTAGAAGAAGGAACCCCAAAATAGTGTTGGTAATTATTTTGCCTCCTTTTCTAAGTTGAGGGCATGGTTTACACAGGGTTTGGGGTCTTTGGGATTTCGGGTTTTCGGGTGTTTGAGATGTTGGGTCATGGACTTTCTACTAGCACGGTTTATGATTCATGGGTTTTGGGCATTCGGGCTTATGTGGGGAGCTTTAAGTTTTTAAGCTTTGAGGCGGCGTTTACTCGATCCTGTGCGGTTTGTGGAGTTTTGGGTATGGGGTATCGGCTGTTTAGAGTTTGAGGAAGGGGTTCTGGGACCTGAGATTTCGGATTGCGGACTTCGGGGGCTTAGGGCTCCTTTACTACAGATGAAAGCCCCGAAGTCAGCAGAACTGTGGGAGTTCAGGGCCTGGGTCCTCTTTTCGGAATCAAGAAGGGGTACACTGAAATCTACGAACATATATATATATATGTACATAGATGTACACTCATATGATTGATATACACATATGTAGATATATACATATAGTGTGTATGTATATATATATATATATGTTGTGTATGTACATACATACATACATACATACATACATACATACATACCTACATACATACATGCATACATACATACAGTACTTACATTAAACTACATTAGGTTAGCTTGCATATCATAACATTACAGTACATTGCACTACAGTACATTACATTACACTCCATTACATCACATCACATTACATACAGACATGTATACATGTACATTCATGGCCCTCTATATATCTTTAGGGCTCCGTTCGCGCTTCCAAACTCCTGAAATAAAACCCTCGGGACCTGCAAGCCCTCCTCTCTTGGAAACGAACATGCAACCTGAAAGCGACAGACGACAGTCCAACTGCTTGAAATGGTGCTATGTAAAGTTTCATGTTTCTCTTAAGGCCTTACCCCGAACCCTAAACCCTCAACTCATAAACCCTGCAAGCCAAACGGCTTGAAGCCTTGAACCCTTTCACTCACGTTACAACTAGAACCTTTAAACCGTGGACCCAAGTTGTGAATGCTACAGGCTTAAACCTTAGGAACTATAAACCCTCGTCCGTAAAGCCTTGACCTAAAAACCTCACACTCTTCAACCTTCAACTTTAGACTCCTCAACCCGGTAAACCTTAGGCCCCTGAACCTTGAAGCGTAAACGCTAGCCGCCGACAGCACGTTTCGAACCTGAACCTTCCGAGGTCACCGCCTCCATCGACGGATCATCGCTTTGCCAACTGGCGGCAGAATTTCAGAAGATCGTTCCCATGGCTTTAGGGTTTGGGTTTTTAAATGAATGTATCCGGGCTTTGCGTGCTGTTTGTGTTTTCATGGTTTAGGGTTTAGGACCTGCGAGGTTTGGGCCTAGGGTTGAGGTCCAGCTTTTGGGGTTAAGGGCTTCCAGGCTTGAGGCATTCGGGATTGGGGCCGAGGCTCTGGCGGCTTTCAATCTTTATAACTTGGAAATTTCCCTCAGCCCTAAAACCCTAAATCACCCAAACCCGAAACTCTAAGCACCAACACCCCCCCAAAAAAAAAAAAATCCTGAATAACCAACCCGCCAAGACCCGCAAGAACCACAAAGAGACACTGAACTCCTGGCAGGGGTTCAACTTCTTCTTCTTCTTCTTCCATGGATGCTGTCGCCTTCGTTTAAGCTCGGTTCCCAAATTGGCCTGCATCCCGGCCTATTCCGCTGACCCGCAGGGAGCCGTCAGAGTCCCATGTAAGGCCCGCCACAGGGGTCACATCGTGATCCTTTTAAAACTCAGCATTGGTTTCTGGCTAGGTCGGTTTAACAACTCCGCACCTGAGAAATTCCAAAGCGGTGCTTCCTAAACCCTGCCTGAGAGCCTCAATCTAATTTCGGCTTAGCGCTTCGGGTTGGCGGTTTAAGTTGGCTCAAAGTCTTCGCCGCATAGGGCTACCATATAATCAGAGCTTTCAGCGTACGACTTGGGTGTTGGTGGACTTGCAAATGATTCAAACGCCTACATAATCGTGCTACAACGTACCCCCCAAAACCCTATTGAAATGATCTAGATGCGTATATCTATCTAAATCCTGGAAAAGAACCTAAAAGATGGCTAAACCTTTACAAATCTTTTACAGCCCTCATAAAACTATGACAATGCCTTAGACAACCTTGGCAAACCCTGTAAAATCCTGGCGGAGCTCTCATGGAACCTCCTAATACCCAAACCGGAACCTCTAAACGGCTACAAATCAAGACCCAGCCTGTTGGCCTGAGGTCGCCTCTGAAAGCGGCCTGAGCCAGACGAATCGTACCCACGAAGCCCGAGGTCCCCTACAAGGGGTTAAGCGTTGAAGGGTTTGGGGCTTTGGGCTTGTAGGCTCAGGGTCTGTGGTTTAAACTAACATTGATGATGTTGCGTTTCTTTTTTACCGTCTGTTAACTGTTATAACGAATGATGAAGCTCACGTTCGACTACTTGTGGAAGTTCTGTATTATTGTAGTCGTCGTCGTCGTCATTGTCGTCGTCGTCGTCGTCGTTGCCTCGTCGTCGTCCTCGTCGTCGACGTAGAAATGCAGAAGAAGAAAAGTACGAGAAGTAACAGTAGTAGTAGTAGTAGTAGTAGTAGTAGTAGTAGTAACAGTAGTAGCAGTAGTAGCAGTAGTAGGAGTAGTAGCAGTAGTAGTAGTAGTAGTAGTAGTAGTAGTAGTAGTAATAGTAGTAGTAGCAGAAGTAGTAGTAGAAGTAGTAGCAGCAGTAGTAGTATTGTGATAGTATTGTAATAGCATTGTAGTATAGTAGTAGTAGTAGTAGTAGCAGCAGCAGCAGCAGCAGTAGGAGCAGTAGTAGTAGTAGTAGTAGTAGTAGTAGTGGTGGTAGTAGCAGCAGCAGCCACCGCCGCAGTGGTAGCGCAGGGGCAGGGGCGGGGGCAGGGGCAGGGGGAAGCAGGAGCAGGACAGGAGCAGGAGGAGCAGGAGCAGGAGCAGGAGCAGGAGCAGGAGGAGCGCCAGCGGGAGCAGGAGCAGTAGCAGGAGCAGGAAGAGCAGTAGCAGGAGCAGCAGGAGCAGCAGGGTGGTAGTCGTAGTAGTAGTCGCAGTAGTAGCAGT